GCATGCAAGGCAAGCGCTCTACCACTGAGCCACCTTCCCAGTCCCCTATATATTTTTCTAATATTACCACACTTTCAGGTCTTATATTTAGATTTCTGATCCATTTCAAGTTGATTATCTTGTGCTTCTAATATAGTTATGGAAGAACCTGTCTTTTCTTCAATGTATATTTTTAGTACCTTTGCCAAGAATAAGATGGCTTTAAGTGTACTGGGATGTTTCTGGACACTATTTTGTTTCAGTGATTAAAAAAAACATGAGAACATTTAATTTTTCATGATAAAGTTAAAATCATACTATATGCAATTTTGTACCTTGCTGTTTTTACCTTAGTCAAAATATAGCATAAGCATATTTCATGTCATTGAATGCTCTTCATAAATATAATTTAACTGTCGCATATTACATAATCTAAATATATTATCTACTTAATCAGTTTCTAGGTTGTAGACATTTAAGTTATTTTTAATTGTTTTAATTTGTGCTGTTACAGAAGACACATACAAAAAAAATCTTCACATTTCTAGTTGTTTCCTCAAAATAGAAATATCTACTATCAGTTTAGACTTTTAGCATTTTTAAGATTCCTAATATGTATGGTCAAACTTCTTTCCAGAAAGGTGTTTAACTTTTGCCAAAAATTTGTGTCTGAGTTTATCTTGCTATAATGCCCTTACTGAAATCATTATGTATTTCTTCCAGTAAGCTTTTGGCTAACATAACAGCTAAAATAGTCACTTCATTTCCATTTCTCTAACTGCAGATAAAGTAATACTTTCTCACTTGTATTTTCCACTTACTGACCTTTAGTTGCAGTTCTTTGTTTATTGAGCATTGAAAATTTTAATTGAATAGTTTAAAGACTTTATAGGTTAAAGGACAGTGATACTATATGATATCATCTAGAAATATTTTTCACATATAACAAGTTAATTTTGTTTATTAGAACATTTTAAATAGGCAAATGTTGAAATTTGCTTTCAGTTATATTTTAGAAAGCCTTTCCATCTCCAGAAAATAGATGAACATATCCTATTTCCTCTTCTTTAGTTTTAATTTTTGTAATAAATAAGCTTTATATTTTTCTAAACAACCAGTTGGCCTAGTACTATATGTGTCATGCCTAATGCTTTTTGGCTTTTTTTTTCTATTCCTGGAGTTTGAACTCAGGATATAGGCACTGTCTCCAAGCTTTTGTGCTCGAGTTTAGCATTCTACCACTTGAGCCATGACTTCACTTCTAACTTTTATGGTAGTTAATTGGAGGTCAGAATCTTACAGACTCTCCTTTCCAGGCTTACTTTGAACTGTGATTCTCAGGTCTCAGCCTCCTGAGTAGCTAGGATTGCAAACACAAGCCACCAGTGCCAGGTTGATTTTTGTTTCTTGGATCCAATTAATATCATGGAAGGTGGAATAGTGGAATACCTTTTAATCCTTTTCCAGAACAATCTCACTCATGGGTATGGTTTCCTAGGACACATATCTCCTACCTCTTGACTGTCACATTCTATCTTTATTTTCATTTCATCTTGAATTAATGTTATTGTTATCTCCTTTGTGATACAAAGGAGTTACCATGTTCGATCTTCCGTGTGACTTCATGATGTCATTTTTTCCCTTCTTCTCAGCTGTTACATCCCAATAATTTTATTTATTTGGGCAGAACATTTCCTTTAGGGCGATTTACTCAGTAGGATTGGGAAAGATGGCTGACATTTTACTACAAGGGAATTTAATGTTCTTTCTCACATCATAATCAGTCATGAAGGGCTAGGGAGAATATTCCTGTGTCTGTGACACTAGGCCAGATGCTTTATCACTTCAAGCTGTGAGGCAGGACATTCCAACTTCAGCCAGTTCTGGTGAGCTGCTCTTTAAAACTCTTGGTTATTTTCAGAGGAATACCCAATTCATTGAAAAGGTATTTTCAAGGAAAATACTTTCTGGATAACAGAAAAATGTTTTATGAATTGTCAGCTATGCTCTTGGGCATCTCTGAGAAGTAGCAAAGTAGTAAAGGAGACATCTGGACAGACTTGACTGTCTTAGCTGACAATATAGAATTGATTCTGAAAGTTCAGTTGATACTTCAGAGTGATATGTCAGTCCTCATAAAGACTAGATCCAAACATTCACCTCCATATTCTCTGAGACGGGTCTTGGAAAGCAGTATTTCGAATGATATAAAATTAATTCCAGATGTTTTGATTTAAAGTAAAAGATAGATTGAAATATGTTTTCATTAATCTAACTAGCCTTACTTCTAAATATACTAAACAGCAAAACAGAGAATAGGAGAAATAATCTTAGGTGAAAAGTGAGTACTAGTTGGGTGGCAGTGGCTGGTGACTATGATCTGTTATAGGCATTATATAGCTATTCAGGAAGCTGAGATCTGAGGATCACCATTGGACGCCATCCTTGAGCAGACAAATCTTCAGACTTCTGTCTCCAATGAACTAACAGAGAGCCAGAACTGGAGATGTGGCTCAGGTGATAGAGCTTGATCTGAATTGTAGTACAATACTCTGAGTTCAAGCTTCTGCACCTGAATCAAAGAAAAAAGAAAAAAAAACCTCTTTGAGTACTAAGTATATTCATCTTACTTGTTTTGCTGCTTTGTATGTTATAATTCTTGTATGCAGGTATGTAATGTGTTCTGCTGGCAAGCCCCAGTACAGCTGTACCAGGGTCTTTTTTGATTGGTTAGTACCTTTTCTTTTTTGCCAGTTCTGGGGCTTAAACTCAGGGCTGGGCACTGTCCCTAAGCATCTTTTGCTCAAGGTTACCACTCTACCACTTGAACCACAACTCCACTTCTGGCTTTTTCTGTTTATGTGGTACTGAGGCATTGAACCCAGGGCTTCATGTATGCTAGGCAAGCAGTTATTGCTAAGCCACATTCCCAGCCCTTGGTTAGTACCTTTGATCTACTAATTGCTAAGTACTTTAAATATCACTTTCTTTTCTTTTTCACTTCCTTCCATCATTCCTTTGACTACTCTTTCTTTCTTTTTCTTCTTTCATTCATTTTTGTCTTCCTTTCTTCCTTCTTATTTTCCCTCCTTCTCTTTGTTTTCTCCTTTCTTTATTGTACTAGATATTGATTCTAAGCCATTGTTTCTGAAATAGTCTCACATAGGCTAGCCTCAAACTTTAGATCCTTCTGAGTGGCTGGGACTACAGGCAGGAATCACCATGCCTTAATATTAACTTGTTACATAATTAATAAAATAATAAATTAATAGTAAACTATTATTCATTTATACATTTATTATATAAAGTCCAAGTTCCAGAGGCTGGCATTTGGTAGGGGCTTTCATGCTATGTCATCCATGGTGAGTGGTAAAAGTAGTAGTGAAAGGGTGGAGAGGGCCATATGTGGCCTTTGACCAAGACCCACTCCAATATTGACTAACCTAATGGGTTGATCACCTCTTAAGGATCTCGCTTGTCAACACTTCCACATGGAGGATTAAGTTACTGACTCATGAGCTGTGAACTTTTGAGGGACATTCAAATCATGCACCATACCAGCCCAGATTGCACATAAGCCTGCGAGACTTTGACTGCTTCACCCCCCCCCCCCCGCAACCAGGTCCCATGCCATCTCCCCAGGGACTCCAGGACAAGGCCAAAGACATCCATAATAACAAGCCTATAGCAGCAAGGAAAGACCATGGGTATCTTTTAAAATTCACACACACACACACACACAAATTTGGGGGCTCAGCATATGGCTCCAGTGGTAGAGCACTCTCCTAGCAAATTCAAGTCCCTGGATTCATTCCCAAGTATTAAAAAATAAGATAAAATGGGTTGTAAATAGTTTTATGCTATGATCTTAATAATTATCATGGTATTTCACTTTCTGGTGGATGAGGGTGATAGCAGTTTTCCCTACTTTTTTATAAGAAGACACAGTTTGGATTCCTGAGTGGGGATTTTAAAGTCTTTGGCAGAGATACATAAGGTAGAAAATATTTTCTGATGTCCTCAGAAAAACTTACCTATTTTTTCATTGGTCCAGTCCAGGCAGATCTTTGGATTCAGGCGAGGCAGGAAATATGAAATCGTAAGTTTAGGAAGAATTGCCTTATGCAGTCAGTGCTTTCCTTACTTTTGGAAGCACACGTTGTACCTATCGTCTTGTCAACTTAATAGAACATTGGTCCATATTCAAATAATAGCTCAGCACAGAAATTTTGTGGCATATTCTCCACTTGTTTCTGTCAAAAAATAATCTGAAATAAATCATTACAATAAAGAAATGAAAAATGGTATCATGCCTTTTAAAGGCAATCAACACAGTAACATGTTGCCCTTTTCACTATCATGTGTGAAATGTCTCTAAAAACTTCACATTCTGTAAAACATGTACTAAGTGATAGGACTTTGAGCCGGTAGAAGATGGGTCACTTATTAGCTTTTGTTACTGTAGCCTCAAACTTAACAAAAATGGTATTGGTGCCTAGAAAGATGATGTGGCTTCTCCACAAGGAGGTTCCCTGATGATTGGAGTTTGCCATACTGGCCACTGAAAATTCTCTCACGTGTTGACCTTACAAATGTAAAGAACAGAATGTTGGTTACTGGGGCAGAGAGGAATGGTAAGATGCTGCTCAAAGTTTTGAACAGGTGAACAACTTCTTGAGAACTATTACAAGGCAGCATGACCATGAATACTAATCATGTAGAGTTCAATTCTCAATGTCTTACCACAAATGAAGGATGGACAAATGAGGCTATGGGTATATATTAGATATATATTATATTAGTGATTCACTCACTCCATTTTTTTGTTGGTTATGGGGCTTGAACTCAGGGCCTGGATGCTGTCCCTGAGTTCTTTTGTTCAAGAGCAGTGTTCTACCACTTTGATCCACAACACCACTTCTGGCTTTCTGGTGATTAATTGGAGATAAGAGTCACATGGACATTTTTGCCCAGGCTGGCTTTGAACTGTGATCCTTGGCTCTCAGCCTCCTACGTGGCTAGGTTACAGATGTGAGCCACCAGCACCCGGCTCAACTCCCCTTTTTATGCTTATATCAAAACATCATATTGCACCTCATAAATGTATATAATTGTGAAAAACTTGAAAAATTTAATGTCAAAATAAATGTAAATTTGTTAAGATAAAAGGGAGATAAAATGCAATACAGTTCTGAGAAGTTATAGAGACTAGGTGCTGGCAGCACTTTGGCTGAAACAGGACAGGTAAGGGGTAGCTAGAGCCGATGAGGGGGACCAGGTCATCTGAATGTGCTGACGTGAAGATTCCTAGGATGAAACTGAAAGTGAGCTTCCTTTCATTGTAATTTTATAGCTGAGAATATTTTTCTTTCATGCCAAAAGATATGCTTTAATTTTGACCATGTTCTTATCTTTCCCTTGTTCAAAAACGTCTAAAATTAAATTAAAATCATTCCCTCTTCACTAATACTGGTTGTTGCAGGACAGACATGGATGTGACAATTGAACAGGCTGTAGATGAAAGTAGCTTTGCCTGATTAGAGATGGAATTCATTACTCAGGGAACTTGGCAAATACAGAAAGGTACATAAAATGAATGTAAGCTTATTAAAAAACTATTGTTAAAAACTTAGATGTATATTCTTCTAGGTTTTTATGTCCATACAAATTTATAAAATCAAGTTGTACAGGGGCAGGGAAGGTGGCTCAGTGGTAGAGCATTTGCCTTGCATGCATGAGGCCCTGGGTTTGATTTCTCAGCACCACATAAACAAAAAGAAAAAAGCCGGAAGTGGCGCTGTGGCTCAAGTGGTAGAGCACTAGCCTTGAGCTGAAGAGCTGAGGGACAGTGCCCAGGCCCAGAGTTCAGGCCCCATGACCGGACCCCCCCCCCCAAAAAAAATCGAGTTATACAGTCAATGAAACTTGTGCCCTTTGTATTTATTTATATTCGGAATGTTTCCATTTTAATTAATTTTGAACTATAACAAATTAAAAAATTTGAACTATTACTTTTCAAATAAAACCTGAATATAAAGTACTTTGGATTAAATAAAGCCTGTATTTTCTAGATAGAGAAGTTATTTTAAATTGTGGCAATAACCACTCTTGTCCAAAAACAATTATATGTATCTTTAGTTAATTCCTTAAGGTGTATCTTTAGTTAATTCCTTAAGGTGAATGATAAGAAAGAAATTACTAAGCCATAAGTACAGAAATAACTCTTGAAAACTTACTCAGTGATAGTAAACTTACGTTCTGTATGTTTTTAAAACATAAACATAAAAGCTTATTTTCTGAGTATTTTTTGTGTGTCCTTAATGCAAGAGCAAAAATAGCCAGCAATAGGGTTGGTATTGTGATACTTCTTTTTTTATTTATTTTTTTATTGTGAAAATACTGTACAGAGGGGTTACAATTACATGGGTAAGATAATGAGTACATTTGTTATCATTCATTGTAGCCTACTCCTGGTATTGTGATACTTCTTAACTGAGGATACAAGTGTCTCACATTCAGCTCATCCTAGAAAATCAACAGATCTGGCACATGGTGTGTCTATATAGATCATGTGATTAAGTTCTACCAAGTGCTCAACACACTTCATGCACATTCCAACTCTTTCAAGCCAATGTGTAATCCTCCCATGTATAATTCCTGCTCTTCTCACTCTGTCTTCTCTTCACTCTTATCTGCCTTTGCCTGGTGCTCATGTCTGGCAATGGCTTCGCTGTAAAGTCCAAGTTCTAGTCAGTCTATGACTTAAACCTTCAGGTGGGAAGATTTCTGAGGTAATTTCAGTAAAAGGTGGCAGCATTGTGCTCTAGGCTCTCTCCTAGTACTTCTGAGGTTCTTGTGAATAAATGGAGACAGAAAGGTGGAGTGCAGACTTTGAAGTGAGAAATGTCTAGGTCTGGGGCTGGGAAGGTGGCTTAGTAGTAGAGCGCTTGCCTTACATGCCTGAGGCCCTGGGTTCGATTCCTCAGCACCACATAAGCAAAAAGAAAAAAGCCGGAAGTGGCGCTGTGGCTCAAGTGGTAGAGCACTAGCCTTGAGCTGAAGAGCTGAGGGGCAGCGCCCAGGCCCAGAGTTCAGGCCCCACAACCGGACCCCCCCCCAAAAAAAGAAATGTCTAGGTCTGTGGTCCTTTTCAGGCAATAATAGTGCCAGAAGCTCATGGTGGTTAGGATAGCTGGAGTTACAGGAACAGTAGTTGGGTATACTCAACTGATCTTGACTGGTTTAAAAAACGTTTATGTCTTTTAACATATTTTAGAGGGAAAATGTAAAGAAAGAACTTGGCTGTGTCCTATCTAAAATGAAATGGAAATAATTCTAACCAATCTAGAATGGTTTGTTTCCATTGCAGTTTCTAAGTAAATGGGAGTTCGTGAAATTCCCCTGTCAAATCTTGCTATTTTCAGGGCAGGGGAAATATGTAGTCTAATAAAATGGAGGCAGATGTGTGTTAAAGATTTTTCCAGTGACTACCAAACCTGTGTCATAGTAAACCTCACTGAAGATAGAAAAGAACTACATCTAAGTCTGATTATTTTTGTTATTAACATTAATTTAAATTTCTTTTATTTTGTCAGTTGTGGGGTTTAAATTCTGGGCCTGGGCACTGCCCCTTAGCTCTTCAGCTCAAGGCCAGTGTTCTACCACTTGAGCCACAGCACCACTTCCGGCTTTTTTCTTTTTGCTTATGTGGTGCTGAGGAATCGAACCCAGGGCCTCATGCATGCAAGGCAAGTCTCTATCACTGAGCCACCTTCCCAGCCTGACACTTTCAGTTTTTTGGTGGTTAATTTGGAGATAAGAGTCTCATGGATTTTCCTGCCTGGGCTGGCTTTGAACTGTGATCCTCAGATCTCAGTCTCCTGAGTAGCTAGGATTACAGGCATGAGCCGCCAGCACCCAGCATTAACATTAATTCTAAAAACTGGTTCCAGGCCAGGTGTTGTGGCTTATGCCTGTTATCCTAGCTACTCAGGAAGTTAGGATCTGAGGATAGTGGTTTGAAGCCAGCAGGGGCAGGGAAGTCCATGAGACTCTTATTTCCAGTAAACTATTTTTTTTTAAAGCTGGACATAGAGCTGTGGTTCAAGCACTACCCTTGAAGCTCTCGGACAGCTCCTATACCCTAAGTTCAAGCCCTAAGTTCAACACACACACACACACACAAAAAAAAAACCAGAAACAGAAACTTATTTTATTTCTCTCTTTTCAGCCAGCATATGTCCCAAGGAAGCTCATCCCAATAACAATCATCAAGCAAGGTAATTAATCTGCTCTGTACATGTCAGGACTATTTTTAACTAAGATAATTAAATATGGTGCATATTTTTTCAATTTAAAAAATTATTTCCAGAGAAAATCTGAACCAACTATTTTAGTTTAGTAAATTAGATGTTAATAGATTGTTTGGGCTTATGTACTAATATGCAAAAACATGAACAAATGACACTGGTTGGACAATTCTGGACAAAGCAACCATAACAGTACTAATTTAAAAAAAACTAGTTTGGGGGTTGGGAGGTATGGTAGAGAATGAAGAAAGTTTTCAAGTGCTTAAATTGGCTCCACTATTTCTAGGAGGTTTTTTATTGGAAGAGATATGGCCTTAAAATTTTAAGCAAACACAATGTCCTAAGTGTACCCTTAAAACAGGACCAATTAGTTATGAGAATCATCTAAAGATTCTTTACTTCAAGAATGTATGCTTCCTAAACTTTTCTTATCACTTAGTCTTTGGCACAGTTTGTGCTAACTCTTATTGACTTGGGAAAGGACAGGCAGCAGACAGTGGGGATGGGAAGGAAATTTCCCACTAAAAAAGAATGGAATACTTTATGATAGACCAGCCTTCTGTTACCTAATAGAAAAGGTATTACGGTAGTAAGTAGCTTCTAATTCCTCCCTTGCCTCTGTCGCCAGCCCTCCGAGTTGATTTCTATTAGCTGATAAACTCAGATGAAGCCATCTTCTAGGGCAGATGGCTTCATATCACCAGCTTCTTCCTATTCTTCTTACAGCACTATTGTCATTTTGTGTCTCAACAGTGATTCAGAACGTTACCCACAAGGCTTCAACTAAATCCCCAGATAAGACTCCCTTTGGAGGAACAATTCTAGGTGAGTGAGTCAATCTTAAAATCTATGTCTAGCATAGGTAAGTAAGCTACTCTTTTGATAGTAGGGCCCTGATAGAGCTGTGACCGGTTGAGTAGGTCTGCCAAATTAATTTCAGCTCATTTTCTTTCACTGCTTAGACATTCTGGCATGTCTATGCCAGGATGATAGTCAAGACCATATTTTTAACCTGGCATTTTAAAGAGATTGATCTAGTTCAGTGGAATGATGGCACTCATCCTATCTATCCATAGGGTTCTTAAGGGTCATATTGACAGCTCAGGGTCATGTTGACACTCAGTTCAGTAAGCTGAGTGACAGTAGCTCACACTTCTAATCCTAGCTACTTCGGAGGCTGAGATCTGAGGATCATGATTCAAAGCCAACCTGGGAAGTTAAGTCCAAGATACTGTTATCTCCAATTAAACACAAAAAAGCTAGAAGTAAAGTTGTGGCTAAAGTGGCAGAATATTAGCCTTGAGCAAAAAAGCTCAAGGACAGTGCCCAGGCTTTGAGTTCAAGTCCCAGGATCAGTACATCGGAGTGCATGTGGGTATGTGGACACACACACACACACACACATCACTGTGATTGAAAATGATGTTCTCTCTTTACCACATTTTAAACTATATATTGATGTTTATTAAGGTCTGTTTTAAAACTGTGCTTCTTAAGCACTGATTTTACAATTTTTTGTTTATGAACTAAAAGAGAATTTCATTCATTTGGTTCTAAATATGAAGACTACTTTACTGAAAAAGGTATTGCAACATTTTAAAATTTGGGTTCTAATTGGCTAAAACAAATACTTGCTAAGTTTCATAATCTAGTGTCAGATGATCTGAACTTTATTTTATTTCACAATACACTTTCTTCTCCCTTTATTTCCTTGTAGTCCACCTTATTATTCCAGGTCTGAATGAAACCACTGTAAAACTGCCTACATCTATAATGTTGGAGATTTCAGATGCCCTAAAGGCACAATTAGGTAAGTATCAAAGGTCTACAGTTGGACTTTTCAGTTACTGAGCATGAGCACCACTATGCTTAGACTAACCAAACAACCTTGCAATCTTGTAAATGAAGTGTATGGTGATGACAAAGAGAAGAGCAAGGAAACTGCAGCATAGAGATACTCATCCAGATCACATGAGCAGTGAAATTGCTATCTTATATTTAGATAAAATATAAATATATGTATGTGTTCAAAAATGGAAGAACACTTAATCATAGATAGGATTTTAGAAAAAATTCCAAACTTACATACCACTTAGAAAAACTTGAAAAATATTTGCTAATATTTCTGATTCTGTATATTCTTTGAATTTTTGTAATAAAATACTCATACATCATAAAATGATATTACCTGCAAGAAGTCAGATATGTGACTTTGGATTTCCTTTTCTTAATTTGTCCATTAGACTCAACCACTTGTTTCTCAGCTATAACATTCTGACTTAATTCTGCCTTGTGTAAATGTGGTGCTACCCACAAACTTCCAAATTAAATTCCCTCCATGGAACAGAATTTGGAAGAGCCAAAACTTGGGACTTTGTACTTAACCCTTCTCTCTACAGAGACTGTATTCTTAGCATGTGCTAAGAGGAGGAAATAAAGGTGCTAATTAGCCTCTTCTTCATTTGGTCCTTAATATGATCATTAAAAGTACAAAAGACAATTTGTGAAGGAGACTAACGATGATTAGAATAGTTCCCCAGATCAGTGATATGAAGGTGTCAGTTCTGAACTAAAGACAAGTTGTTTTATTACTTAGTTTTTTTTAATTTCTTTTTAAAATTTTATTTTATTGTTAAGATGCCATACCATTACTTAGTTTTGAGTAATGTTTTCAGAAAATTTTCTTTGCCAAGTTTTAATGTGCTGCCTTAAGACAAATTATTTAACTTGTGAGTATTACTGGATTTTGTTTAGTGTTGTTTTTGTTTTTCTGATGACTCATTCAAATGTCACAGTTCAATGTCATAATAATAGAGAAAAACTATGTGCAAATAACAAGAAATACAAGAAGAAAATACCTTTCGAACTTAGATTTCTAGTGAAATGCCTATAGTAAATTTAACACATAGAAAATCTCTTATTTGCTGGAGGGATTGATCTACTTGGTATATTTGCAAATGCAGGAAATCTAAGGAAAATCTCATCCATCAAATTTCTCATCTTAACACACTGTTTCAAAAAGAAGCAATATTAATAAAATTGGGAGGAGGTGATAAGGATGTAGCTCAGTGGTAAAGTATTTGCCCATGGAACAAAACTCTCTCTACCAGCTATTTTGAAATATCAAATTAATCACTGACATTGTTGCTGGGTTTTATTAGTTCTTTCTTTATGTGGTTTGGATATTAAATCCCTATCAGAAACACGATTTTCAAATATTTTCTCCTAGTCTGTAAGCCGCTTTTCATTTTGTTGAGCAGAAATGCTATTTTTTCCAAATAAAAAGAGCATGGGCATAAACAGCTTTTATACTACCAAGGGAGAAATAAACTTCCCTGAAGCTAATTATTACAGCAATTCAGATAAGTCGTATTTCTTCAGGGAGTAAATTCTAAAAATAACATCCCATTCTACCAGTGCACAACATGGGACATCAAGAGATGTAATAGCTTTTGTTCTAAGAACATATGGTGTGAATAATGAGAGAAATAAACAAGAATGCTAGTACTACACACACACACACACACACACACACACACACACACACACATCTCTGGGTTATCTCTGAGAGATGTACAAAGGGTTTGCCAAAGCCAACACTTGGCTTGCCAAAACTTAAGACTCTGCTGGAAAAAAAGTACAAAAGAATAATAATGGAGGATAAGAAATCTCATAAGGCTTAGGACTTATTTCAATGACATGTTACTTTTCTGGTGTCATTATTGTCGTTGGGCATATTGCAGTAGAATGCTTGTAGACATTTAATATCAAGTGTCCTTCACTTAAATATCTCTCCATCTCTTACTTTCTCAATAACTCTCTGTCTTTAAATTCATTAGAAGTAAGTGAATATTTTGTACCTATATTACATGGAACCAAGAAAAATGGCTTTTCCGAGAGTGATATTACCTACAAAATTTGCATGTTCAAAAAAACTTTCATAAACTAGACTAATTCTCAGCAGGCAATGACTCTGTCCCCCAATGTCTGGAGATATTTCTGGCCATCACAACTATTGGGGTACTATTGGAATCTAATGGGTAGAAGCAAGAAATGCCACCAAATCTCCTTTAAGTAAACAGGACAGGATCTTCCCCCACCTATCATCTCCACCCCTACCCCCAACCAAAATGCTAACTAGTCTCAAGTGTCAATAATGCCAAAGTTCACAGATCCATAGCCTATATAGCCTATATATATTTTAAATCCTATCTGATTAATTAATCAGCTTTAGGTGGCATGAATTTTTTTCATGCTGTTCGACTGTTTCAAAATAGTACAAGCAGGTCACTTGACTGAGATTGCTAAATAACTGACTGGAATGAATACCAAGAACATTCTAAAGTTGGCGACTAATTAGCCACTGGGAAATTCTAGTTTAGCCATAATCTTTTTTTGAGAAAGAGCTCCTACCTTGTAAAGAAGTAGGTTTCCCAGATATTTGCATTAAGAGGGGAAAACAGATTGTATTCTTTTTTCTCTTTTTATATTAATACAAAGAGGTTTCAATTTAACATGTTAGTTTGTGAGTGCAATGTTTCTTGATCTTATTCTAGTTTTTGCATTGAATTTCTACACCGAATGAAAGAGCAGATTAAAATTAACATATGGCTCAAGTAAAATTTAACAGTTTTTGCCATAAAGTGTTCCAAATACTTTGTTTTTTTCTATGTGTGTTATTTGTGTTTCTTTAAAGTTTCAGTGTTTTAATCTCTTAAAATTTTTAACATGTATAATGAAAATTTCCATTTACTAGTATTTTAGATAGTAGATGTACTGGAATATAACATTCAGAGGGACATTAAAAGTATAAATTATGAATTCTAGAAACTCTGAGAATGACAAAAGTTAGCCAAGTACTGAGCTGTAATTTTCATTTTCATTCCGATGTCAGTTTAGATCTTAAAGAATTAGCTAGGGAAAATAAGAAGGAATTTTGAAGTCTATCTTTTCTTCTTCTTCTTAGTCCCTGGTAGAAATGCACAGTAAAATTGACTTGCTGGCTGAAAGGGATATATGTAGAGTAACTAAAAAATAATTTATAACTTGATTTTATTTTGCATGAAGTATTTTTGGATACTGTGCTATGAAGAAGTGAGGTAAATTGTTTTTTTTCTTTGTTTTAGCTAAAAATGAAACATTGGCATTACCTGCTGAATCTAAAACGCCAGAGGTTGAAAAAATCCTAACACAACCCATAACAGGTAAGGAGATCCCTATCTTTTCACTGGGAAAACTATTAATGTTTTCATTTTTTCATACAGGGAATCACTGACAAGCTTATATATTTTCAGCGATGGTCAGTTAGAACCTTGATTTAGTCATAAGTATAAAACAAAATGAGATCCTAGGTCTTTAATGCTTAGGGAAAAATGAAGACAAAAACTGAATAATGGAATTATATAGCTGATATGTAACATGAAAGCTATATTTTCAGTCCAAGTGAAAGTTGTTATATAAACACTGAAATAGTTTTACCCTAAAACGTAATAATAGTTTTTTTTTTAAGTATTGGTGCTTTCCTTTTAAATGAAGACCTGGGACCATTTTTTTACTACCAATTTAGAAAAATACTTACTCTTTCCTCAATTCTTGGTTTGATAGTTATGAAAATATCCTGAATTTTTAAAGAAACAAATACCTTTACAAGATAAATAACCTTAGCATACAAAATGCTAACAGTCCAGTAAAAATTTCTTTACAGAGTCAATGTTGTAAACATTGTTCCCATCCTTTATCCCTGGAACTAACAAACTTTCCGTGTTTCTTCTCTGAATGAACTACCCCATTTGACCACAAGGGAGACATTAATCTCTGAAGTACAGAGTCTTTGCCAGAGTGATAACACCTTATCCAGAACTTGATGAAACAAACATTTGGCAAGAAATCCCCCAATTAAGCAAAGGAACTCTCATCCGAAGTGAATCTTTTAATCTGCAAAGTTGCCATAATTTGACATACTCATGCTATTTCCTCTATATTAAATGTTTCGACTTGTAACTGGTCCAGAGAAGATAGGGCTGATAGGGTAATAAAATAGCTTCAAGAAACAGATGGAAGTAGACTATTTCTTTCTTTCTTTCTTTCTTTTTTTCTTCCTTCCTTCCTTCCTTTCTTTCTTTCTTTTTTTTGGTCCAATCGTGGAGCCTGAACTCTGGGCCTGGGCACTATCCCTCAGCTCTTCAGCTCAAGGCTAGTGCTCTACCACTTGAGCCACAGCACCATTTCTCGTTTTTTTCTGCTTATGTGGTGCTGAGGAATCGAACCCAGGGCTTCATGCATGCAAGGCAAGCACTCTACCACTGAGCCACCTTCCCAGCCCGGAAGTAGACTATTTCTGATAGAGAAAGAGATATGGTCCTGTTTGAAGAGAAATATGCCTTCATTTCCTTGTTCACAGGACAAAGTTAGAAGCTACTTAAACTTCAGGAATAATCCATCTGAGTGCAATTTTTAGGTGCTTTTTTCATTTTGGATTCATTGTACTTAGTTTTAAAAATCCCCAGCATGATCCAATGGGTAACGCTAAGTTCTTGCGTGCCTCAAAAATTCTACCCATTTCCCAAGTCACACTTTATTTTTTGGCACTGCATCTGAAGAGAAGCCACAGATTTCTTAAATTGTTTTTTTTTTTTTTGGCTAAACTTCAGAACTTTCCATTTCAGAAACAGTCAACTACCACAACTTATTATTCAGTATTCTATCCATTTTATGTGCTTACCTTGCAAAATTCCAGGATTTTCAAGCTCATGATTCCTTCCAGATCTCAATAACTACAAGTTCTTATTTCACCAATGTTATTTACCTGAAGTCTCCATTGCTTTTAATCTTAGCAGTATGGGACCACCCAGTGGCTAAGCATTTGAAACCTGAGATAATTTCAACCCAATTCCAAGCTTTGCTGACTGAGTACAGTTTGAGAGAGAAACCTAATAGCATAATAGTTTCTAAGTGAACCACTAACTCTAGGTCTTTTTTTTTCTCTCATTTGTTCTTTTGGTTTTTCTTTTTGTTTTCTTTTCTTTTTTCTTCTTCTTCTTTTTTTTTTTTGGTCGGTCATGAGACTTGAACTCTGGGCCTGGGTCTGGGTTCTGTCCCTGAGCTCTTCAGCTCAAGGCTAATGCTCTACTACTTGAGCCACAGAGCCAATTCCTGTTTTCTGGTTGTTAATTGGAGATAAGAGTCTCATGCACTTTCCTGCCTGGGCTGGTTTTGAACTGCCATCCTAGATCTCATCCTCTTGAGTAACTAGGATTACAGGTATGAGCCACCAGTGCCTAGCATACAATTCTCAACTTATAATTTCTAACTTATATTCCAGATATAACATATTTAATATTATAATTTAAAATAACTCATGGACTTTCCTGCCTGGGTTTGAACCATGATTCTCAGGTCTCAGGCTAATGAGTAGCTAAGATTACATGTGTGAGCCACCAGCACCGGCTTTCTCATTTGTTCTTTATTTAACAATTATTATGTGTTGTGTATTCTAGGCTTCGCACAAGCCCTGTAGATAAAGAAAAAGAAAGATAAATAATAAGAGACAGTGATAAGCATGTGAATGGAAAACAGGAGGAGTGTCAGCCTAGAATCTAGGTCAAGACAGAGGGACTACCATTAGGAACTTGAAAAGACATAGGCTGTATAAGTATCAGTTACTAATTCTAAAGATGGATGAAATATGTTTTATGGTCTTTGTTGTTCATCATTTTATTTTAGTTCATAAAGTTACCATTCGTTTTACCTTTCAGTAACTCCTGGAACAGTTCCAAGAAGCACTAAACCCACTGTGTCTAGTGCATTCGACATTTTGGAAACAACACTAGGTAATTCTACACCTTTTTTCTATCTTTTCAAAAAAAGGAATGACAAAAATAACCTCCCAGCATCCATTAAAGAAAAGACTCACCCCAGTTCTTCAATCTGACTCTCGTTCCCTTCTACCTTTCCATGTTTCTTCCTTTCCACACCTTTGGGGAAGTAACTTTCCTATTTCTTGGACCAATTCCATTGGAAGAGTTAACAAAAATGCCTTGATCTTGTTGAGTTAGGTGCCTGGCATGTTAGATATGAACTGCATGCATTTTCTACCTGTCTTTTGTTGGACAGACAGAATTGTTGCCTTTCAACCACCAGAGCATGGAAGGGTGGGAAGAACTTGGAAATCTTGACTCTGGGATCTCTGATCAAATGGGCTTTTGAAGGTTCTTAATGTCCTAAATGTGTGAAGAATCCCCCAAAGCATCATACATTTATTTATACAAAGTTCTCATTACTCATGTCTGCTGCTATTTTACCTCAAAGAAACTAACTTGCCATTGCAGTTTCTTCTCTTTCCCTGAAGACAAGGAGTAGTATAATTTTTGTTCTGCACTGTGGTGCTAGTGTTCTGAAAGTATATTCAATTTGGAACAGCTCTGTAACTTTCCCAGGGAAAGCCGATTCTTTTCCATGAAAGGCCTCAACTGCTCATTGCCCATGAGTCTCTGTTATAAAGCATGTTGTGCATGGTCATGGGTAAACCACAATGTCAAATACCAAGTTAGGGTGCTGCTAATCTCATTCTTCTTTTTTGTAGTTCTCAGTGAAAGGACCCAGGAAGCATCGCAAACAATTCTAATACCTAGGTTTGAATTGCCACTGAGCACTTTAGGTACAAATTATTGAACTCTGCAGCTTTATTATTGCCTGAACTTTTTATGCATGAGCTAATTCACTCATTTTTTTTTTGCCTCACAAGAAAAATGGGACAAATGGCTTACACAATAAGGAGTTCTCCATTACCAAGCCCTCAAGGGTGATTTTAAAAATCATTGTAATCTAGGCTCCGGATTTTAAAAATCATAGTAATCTAAGGCTCCGAAGGAGGCTTTCACTAACAAATCTATTGGCATTTTTGTAAAAACATAATATTGTCATGTTTTAATACTGTTCTTGAGTCTTTCTATTTATAATCATTATGTCACAAAACAAATTTATATTTCCCTTCAGTGTTTTTTACTCAATCATTTCTCTTCTCAGAGGAGACATTGATAATACTTCTGCAGGCTCCTTAGAGTTCTTAGTATTTCTATATGTGAAACATCTTAAGACCTTTATATAAAAGCCATGTAATTACCAACACTCAACTTCTGAAAGGTATTGGATGGATATTTTGTAGATCAAGTGTGCTTGGTATTAGGTTTGCATTTAAATGAAATGTACATAATCACATATATTAATATGCCTGAGAAAATCAAGAAACTAATTCAATAAGAGTAAAGAGAAGAGCCCAAATATTTCAGATTCAGTGAGTTGATAATGAAAAATTGAAAAAGAAATTTTAAGTCTGGCATAGTAACTGACGCTGGTAATCCCAGCATTTGGGAGTCAGAAACAGAACTGTGCACTCAAAGCCAGCCTAGTTTACATAGCAAGGTCCAGTGTCAACAAAGAAGCATATATGTTCCTATGTATATAAACAACTATAGTAGATAGACACACAAACGTGTGCATGTAAACACATATATGTCTGTATATATGTACACACATACATGTATAACATGAACATGTAAATATATGTACACGTATATACAACGATATATATACACATACATACATATACATGCATATATATAGAGAGAGAGACTGCACTGAAACACAGAAGAAAAACTGATAAAGATTTCTTAGTTGATATCAAATAGTTTCCTTTGTAGGTTTGTTGGGGTTTTTTCTACCTTAGATTTTAAAATCCTTTCTGTTACTTGAACCCCAGGTCATAGCTATCCTGTATGTTTTGTTACAGCTCCAAAAAGGCTTCCAGAATTTCCTGAAGCAAAAACATCCTACCCTTTTGAGAAACCTGGGGGTACCTTGGGTAATAAAAGTATATTTGATGTTACAAACTTGAATGATGGGGTGAGGTGTAATTCAGTGGTAGATTGCTTGTCTGATATTTGTAAGAACCTGAATTTGATCCCTATTCTTTACTTATACATGCAATAGTAATAATGTTATCATAATAATAATAATCGTGTGAATGGTAATGGCTTGCTTCTGTACAATACACTTACTAGGTTCTAGCTCTGAAATCCTCAATAAATTCATGAGTTCTGTTAACTAGGGCAAATAATAAGTGGTTGATTTGACTAAAAAGAAAAATAAATACTTGATTGGATTTCTTATTAAAGTAAAAAAGTCATAACTCAGTAATTTCACATAACCTAGTTGTTTAGTTCTCTCAATATATTATGACTTTTGATAGAATATGTATGAGCTATTTCTTGCAGTCTTCTGGTAGCCATTTAACTCTATCTGCAATCCATTTCTCTCCTTTATTTCTTCTTAAAAGTTTTTTTCAGCAAGTTCCATTTCTTTTCAATGTAGCTTCAAGTGAAAAGCCATGGGTGGCGCCTACGGCTAAACCATCTGAAGATGCCAAGGTTGTGCGGCCTCCAACTGGTAATTGCATTCTACTTACAAGTGAAATCGTAAAAAGCTTTTGGTTATCTTCCATCTCTTAGCTTTTGGATTATAACAAAGAGGACACAGAGTTCTATTGGGTTTCTCTTGAACAGCATCTACATCGTAGTTTCTGTGATTATTCAAGAGCAAACTGACTGTGAAACTGCGAATCATAGGTCATGAGTTATTTAAAAAGAATTGGCACTGAAGCACACATTGGGATATAGTGAAAGCATAGTGTGGAGTGAAGATTGCAGTTACAAATAGGCAAAAATGGGAAATACCAATAAAGGAAAGGTTTTTTTTTTACCTTTATTTTTACAAAAACCACATTGGGGTCTTACCCTGGTGGGATGAGAACAGTTGCTAATGCAAAAAGGTGTAGATTCCTTATTCCTTATTCCTCCTCCCTGCAAGAGCAACCACAGGTTTCCAGGGAGCTTTGGGACTTGTCATAGGCTACAAGAGTTTTAGCAACAAGTTTAGTTAAGAGTTGTTTGTAAAAGAGCATTATTACCTAGAATTTCCTAGGGTGCTTTTATGACATTGTATTTGTTTATCGGTGCTATTCATAAGGTTGGCATATCCTGGAAGCTTGCTATCTGACAATGACCCAGGTGAATTATATGAGCAGAAGGAACACTTTTCTCACCCTGTTTTGAAATATTTCACATGGCTGTTAAGAATCATCAGATGGGGGCTGGGAAGGTGGCTCGGTGGTAGAGCGCTTGCCTTGCATGCTTGAGGCCCTGGGTTCAATTCCTCAGCACCACATAAGAAAAAAGAAAAAGCTGAAAGTGGCGCTGTGGCTCAAGTGGTAGAGCGCTAGCTTTGAGCTGAAGAGCTGAGGGACAGCACCCAGGCCCAGAGTTCAGGCCCCACGACCGGACCGCCCCCCCCCCAAAAAAAAAGAATCATCAGATGGGTCAATAATAGGATAGTAGGACTCTAATCAATATGAATAACTTTTTAAAAGACATAAAGATAGCATGCAGTAGGTGATTATGTATCTCTTGCTTATATTAATGTGCTATACATACATCTGTGCTCTAATGTAAGTATTGGGTAACATCTTCCTAATGTAAGCTAAATTTAAAACCAAAAGGAAAATTGCACATATTCGTGATTCTGAGAGTTGTTATATTCGTATAAGAATTTCATTTATTTCGGCCTTGAATTTTAAAAATAGATTTGGTGTGATTTTGTATATGTTCAAAGATTCTATCTATTAGTTTTAACATAAGTGATTATTATTTTCCATTTACTCGGATAGCTTTCTGTTACAATTATTGTCAGAAATAAGAAAAATGGTGGCAGGCACTAGTGGTTTTCTTGCCTGTAATTCTAGTTCATCAGAAAGCAGAGATGAGAGAACTGTGATTTGAAACCAGACTGGGCAAAAATAATCTGTGAGATTCCATCTCTAATTAATCAGCAAGATGCTGGACTGGACAGGTGGCTCAAGGGGTGGAGTTCCAAACATGAAGCAATAAAGCTGAGAGACAGAGGATGAGTTTGAGTCCTGTTACTGGCTCAGAAATAGATAGATACATACATACAGACAGACACACACACATACATACATACATACATACATAAATGGAAGGAAAGGGATAAAGGTAGTGCCTGAATAATGGCCCACAAAATCATGAGGCCCCGATTTTAATTATTGTATCCTTTGAAGAAACAATATGGCAAACTAAGCGTATCTTGCTTTTCTAATCATAATACAATGTTTGTTATCACAAGATTTACTTTTTGATTGGTGGTACTGGGATTTGAACTCAGGTCCTTGCACTATACTTTATAAGTTAAGCCATGTTCCAAGCCCTTTTTGCTCTTATTATCCTTTGGATAGAGTCTCCCTTTTGCCTGTCCACCCAAGACCATGATCCTCTCATGTACACTTCCGGCTGTGATGACAGGTACCTCACTTTTTTGGGGGCGGGGGCTCGGTCGTGCGGCCTGAACTCTGGGCCTGGGCACTGTCCCTCAGCTCTTCAGCTCAAGGCTAGCACTCTACCATTTGAGCCACAGCACCACTTCCAGATTTTTTCTTTTTGCTTATGTGGTGCTGAGGAATCAAACCCAGGGCCTCAGGCATGCAAGGCAAGCGCTCTATCACTTCCCAGCCCTCACTTTTTTATTAGTTGATGTGGAATCTCATAAACATTTTGCCTAGGTTGGCCTCAAACTACAATCCTTCCTCTCTCAGCCTCCTGAATAGCTAGGATTACAGATGTGTGCCACCATGCCATAAACAAGCATATTTACCAAAGTCTGCCAGAATACATATGTTGTTGAATAGAATTGGGATCATTTAATTATTACAGTGGAGAGAACAGGCTGTGAGGAACTGTATATTAAAGAGAACTTACTAAAAGATTTTTGTCTCATGTTAAATTATTGACAGAAGGATCAAAGGAAGTCGTTTTGAACTATATAATCAGGAAGTAAGAGAGAATCTGTGAATGTCTCCATGATGTTTTTTGTCAGTCATGGAGCTTAACTCGGCCTGGCTGCTGTCCCTGAACCTCTTTGTGCCACAGCACCATTTCCAGTTTTCTGGTGATTAATTGGAGATAAGATTCTCCTGGACTTTCCTGACTAGTCTGGCTTTGAATCCTAATCCTCAGATCTCAGCCTCCTGAGTTGCTAGGATTACAGGCGTGAACCACCAGCACCAGGCCATCATTCTTAACTAGGTGGAAAGATGAGCAGAATTAAGCTAAAGATGAGCAGAATTAAGAAGCACAAATTACCTATATTTACTGGAATGTGAGAGGGTAAAGTTTGTGTTTTAAATGGTGTTAATGTTTTGTCAATATCTGACATAATTATAGAATAGTCTTGATTTTATGTTGAACCATTGGCATTACAAGGTGACCTTGTCTAATATTAGTGTTCTTCAAGATTGTTGACATTCAACAAGGAAATGCTAGAGCCTACCTGTGGTACCATACCAACTCCCGGCTGCTCTTCTGTTAAGCAATCATAAAACATGATTATAATTTCCTTGTGTAAAATTTATTCTCCTTTAGGACTTATTGGGACTTGGGTCCAATTTTATACTTTGTATAAAAAAGTTCAATGTAAGGACTCTCAAAGTGATTTCTAAATCATGTTTGGAGGTTAAAAGCTATTTGAAGACCCTAACTTACATTCTGGTAATTAAAATTCCTGGGTAAATCCACAATAGGTTTTGGCAATAATGAAACATGGTATTTAAAATTTAGAATACCCCAGAAAATGTGAGATGTGTAATTTTCAAATATACTCTTCCCAGCTTTAGTCGGTTTGCCCAAATCTTTCATTAGTGGTGCAGTTTGCAATTTTATTATTTGGAAATGAATCTTATATAATTCTACAAAACATATATAAGTAGGGTTGATTGAGTTTGATTTTCTTGGCAAATCTAGTTTTCCATAAAGCATATAAAGGAAATCATAAAATGTGTTCTATAATTACATACTAGAATATAAAGTTATTCATGAATTTAAAAAGGAATGTTAAAAGAAAGTTAACCAGATTTTAGAAATATTTTAATGCTTGTGAAACTTATTGGAAAAAGTTCTTTTTTCTGATAATGCAATAATATTGGTCTTACATCCTGTTCTAGAAAAGCTCTCAATACCATTTACCTTCAAATGAAATGTGCATTTGCATTCATGTAATTAAGGCTTGTGGACCATTTCTCTATTGGAATAATATAATTTATACTTGTATGCAGTTTTTCTTTTAAGCGATTCAAAGAGCTATGAATATAGCATCATGATGAACCTTCCAAAGTCCCTGGAAACAGAGTTACTTTCTTTTATATTAAGGAAATGAATAAGATACTTTCCTTTGGATAGGTAGGGAAGCAATACTTAGACTCATTCATTTCTTTCACTCATTTCTTTCCTAATCTTCTTTCCAATAAACTGCTGCAAGTTAAGAGTAAAGCCATGCCAATATCTTGCTTTTGAATTGTGAGAACAGCGTTCACAACAGAGGATTTCACCACTATACTGGGAATAGATAGATAAGAAATAAAAAGTTATATGAGAGGGACTGGCTTGTCATTGAATTCTGTTCTTACCATGAGTATGATTGCTAATGTGCGAGCTGCAGAGTAAGGCAGAGCTGGGCTAATAACTAGCTCACACAATTTCAATTCCTCCATCTATACAAGGAAATCATACGTACATTTTTCATCAGGTTGATCTGTCTTAGAACTAATGTGTAAATTACTACTACACAAGAAGAACTGCAGGATCTCTGTGTTAGTACAATGAACGTTGACTGCATCTTGTTCCCTCCATACTACCCATCTCAAACTTCTTGCATCGCTGCATGCCAATCGTGGCAGTATTTAAAAAACAATTATTTGTTTGATCAACTTATTTCATTAAAGAAAAGCAGGAAGAGAGGAGAAAAGATATGCTAACCTCAAATATCTTTGAGAATTTCAAATTACCTTTAGATTACAATTTGACTTTAAAATTTTTTTAAGGAGAAACAAAAAAGATATGTTCAGAGTTACATGCAGAGCTCCCCATGTTCCGTGAACCTCATGGTAGGTATGGTAAACTACATCACTGAGCGTCTCTGTTCAGTTAGAGAAGACTTGCATCACTCTGTTAACCTGCATGAGCACAGTGAGTGAATCAGTGTAGTAGACAGCTGCCGATATTTTCCATGGGCACCCGAAGTGGGGAAGGCCAGTGTACATACCATCAGTTTATCATCTCACAAGTAGGGCACATACATAATTTCTAATAACAAGTGGGATATAAGAGATGGAAATGAACTTTCTGTCGCTGACTTGATAATTCCCTCAGGATTAAGCCTGCATAATTTACTTTGTGATCATCCCCTAAAAAAAAAAGACTACTATTTAGTCCCAGCTGGGTTTCAAAAATCTAATAAAGAAAATGGTTATGACTCCAAAATGATTTATTGCATCTGGGTTCATCCCTAGAAAACCCTTTTGCCTTTTCTTCTCTCAAAGTGTC